TCTGGCTGGAAGTGCAGTGGTGCAATCATAGCTCACTGCAGCTTCAATCTCCTAGCCTCAAGTGATCCTCATACCTCAGCCTCCCAAGTAGCTGGGACCACAGATATGAGCTACCACACCTGGCTAAGTTTTGAATTTTTTGTAGTGATGGGGTCTTGCTATGTTGCCCAGGCTGGTCACAAACTCCTGCGCTCAAGTGATCCTCCTGCCTCAGCCTCTCAAAGTGCTGGGATTACATGTGTGAGCCACCATGTCTGGCCAATTCCCTTCCTTTTTCAGGCTGAATAGCATCGACTTGAATTTTATAACAAATGCATGTTTGCATTCTTACATTTTTTTGTTTGTTTGTTTTCTGAGATGGTGTCTCACATCCTCACCCAGGCTAGAGTGCCATGGTGCGATCTCGGCTCACTGAAACCTCTGCCGTCTGGATTCAAGCAATTCTTCTGCCTCAGCCTCCCAAGTAGCTGGGATTACAGGCAGGCACCACCACATCTGGCTAACCTTTTGTATCTTTAGTGGAGATGGGGTTTCACTATGCTGGCCAGGCTGGTCTTGAACTCCTGACTTGGTGATCTGCCCGCCTCAGCCCCCCAAAGTGCTAGGGTTACAGGTGTGAGCCACCGTGACTGGCCCATGTTTTCATTCTTTCAAACGCATCCTTTGTGGGGCATTTCCTGCCTGGTCTGACTCTGTCAGCGTGTCCTGCCTGCTAGGTCAAGCGCAACCTGCTGAATGTCTCCTATCGCATCGCGCAGTACACAGAGGTCATCTCCGACCTGCGCAGGGAGATCGCACCTCAAATCAAAAATCGAGAAGAAAAGGAGAAGAAAAGTGAAGCCGGCATCCAGGATGCCCGAGGTAGGTAGGCTGAGTGGGGGCTGGCGCCTCCTGCAGGTGCAGCGCAGAGCTTATAGCTTGCAGTGAACGCCAAGAACGAAGTACTCAGACAGTTCCAGTCCAGAGCAGATAGGGGGTAGCTCTTCTGAGAGAGTCCGCCCCAGCATCCGTCCATCCATCCACCAAGTATTTATTGAAGGGCTTGTATTAACTACAAACATCCACTAGATGGTCATTTGAGGTGGGATACTGAGGCACCCATGACCTTGTACGCACTCAAACTGCATTCTCAGGAGGCTGTTTTCAGCGTTCCTTATCACACCACACACTCCACTCCCTGTTCTGTTTTCGGGGTCAAGGAGTTTCATTCCCATGCACAAACATACACACAGCGCTTCAGTATGTTTCCATGCCCGACCTCAAATGCCATGTACATAAGCTTTAATATGTTGCTGTGTGCCCCCTACAGCGCAGAAGCACTGTCACTCTCCCAGGGCCCGCAGGACACGTCCCTGTCATGGTTACCCCTCCCTGTCTGGGGCTGCATGCTTGGGCCACTCTGAGCACCTGCACCCAGAGAGCACTTTGGTGGCCCTGCCTGGGCTTTAGTTTCAACCTGGCTACCACTTCACTGTGTCCCGACCCAGAGCTCTAATTCTTCCCTTGTAAATGGGGGTTGGATTCTTTCCTTTTTTTTCTTTAGAGACAGGGTCTTGCTCTGTGGCCCAGGCTGCAGTGCAGTGGTGCAATCATAGCTCACTGTAGCCTCAACCTCGGGTTTAAGTGATCCTCCTGCTTCAGCCTCCTGAGTAGCTGGGACTACAGACATGTGCCAGCACACCTGGCTAACTTTTTTTTTTTTTTTTGAGACAGAGTCTTGCTCTAGGCTGGAGTGTGGTGGCATGATTTTGGCTCACTATAAACCTCTGCCTCCCAGGTTCAAGTGATTCTCCTGCCTCAACCTCCCATTTAGCTGGGATTACAGGCACCTGCCAGCACACCTGGCCAATTTTTGTATTTTTAGTAGAGATAGGGTTTCACCACATTGGCCAGACTGGTCTCGAACTCCTGACCTCAAGTGATCCACCCGCCTCAGCCTCCCCAAGTGCTGGAATTATAGGCATCGGCCACTGCACCCAGCCCGAAGACTTTGTTTTAATGACTGCAGTGATTCCATCATCCGGATGCACCATAATTTATTTTGCCAACCCCAGTTTACTTGACATTTAAGGAAAAGGCAGCTCTTGACCACTGCCCTCAAGGTCATGGGAACAGATTGGACAAACCACGCATGTCCAGGGTGGAGCCATCTATTGGGGCAGACGGGGAAAACCTGGGCAACTATTAGGTAGGAACTCACTGTGGGAAACAGGAAGACCGGAATGATTTTGCCCCATGGAGCTTACATTTGAGCAGAAAAGACAGATATAAAATATCTATCACAAAATGTTACCTAATCATAGATGTGTAGAGCACTGTGAAAGAGAAGGCAGGGTGTCATCAGAGCAGGTGACAGGTAGCTCACAATGAGAGTCTGGGAATGTTTCACTGGGAAATTGAGGTCTGAGCTGAGATGGTTGGCCGAGACTCAACACTATTTGGGTTCCTGAGACTCAAATCCAGGTAGCCTGACCCCAAGCCAGGGAAAGAGGGGGTTTAAATTTCTCTAAATCATCTATCCATTTATCCATAAGTCCAACCATCCATCTACCCATCCACCCATTTACACATCTACCCACTCACCCATCCATCCATTTACCCTCTGTTCACCCATCTACCCTTCCATCTATCTACCATCCATCCATCTATCCACTTATCCACCATCCATCCATTCACCACCCACCCATCCATTCATCCATCCTCATCCATCCACCCATTTATCCATCCTCATCCATCTGTCCATCCATCCATCCATCTGCAACCATTCATCTCCATCCATACACCCATTCATCTACTCATTCATCCATCCATCTGCCCATCCATCATCCATTTATCCATTCTCATCATCCATCCATCCATCCATCCTTTTATCCATCGACCCATCCCCAACTATTCTCTCTCTCCATCCACCCATGCATCCATCCATCCATCCATCCATCCATCGATCATCCATCCATCCACCATCCACCATCCACCTGTCCATCTCCATTCACTCATCCATCCACGTGTACTGAGCTTATCTGTGGGCCAGACACCATCTTGGTGGGCAGGCATGGAGTTCAATCCTGGTTTAAGTAGCATTGCTCCTGGTGCAGCCAGCTCCCTTCCTGCCCACAGTGCTGATGCTGTCCCATGACGCAGAGGAGGATAGCCACGTACAGATGAATAAGATCCGGGCACAGCTCATCGGCGCCTTCACGGAGCAGATGGAGATGCGGCGCAGCCTGGTGGAGCTGGAGAACACCAACATCGAGCTGCACGTGGATGTGTCCCGCCACCTGCTGACCATCGCAGAGTGAGTGTTCCCCGCCGGCTCAGCTCCACCCGGACCCCAGCACTGTCCCTCCTAACAGGGCAGGGTGGCCTGCCAGAGCAGAAGGGCCACTGCAGGGGGTTCCTTTTGCTGCTGGCCAGCCACCCTCTGCTGCCTGCAAGTTCCTATTCCTCCCCTGCTCTTCTCCCCCTGTAGCTACGCCGGGCCAGGTAGGAGAAGATTCCAGATTCCTTTGATCTCTCACACAGGCTAGAGTCCAGAGGCATCCTGGTAGGCCAGCCAGGCCCAACCCCACAATAGGAGGGAACGCTGAGGCTTAGAGATGTGGGCTTGCCCAGTCCTAGGCCAGGGCTTTTCTCTCGTTGCACACTTACTCCCTGCTCAGATGTACTGAGCACAGGGTGGCCATGTGCAGAGATACTGGCCATGCGATTAGCATTCACACCAGGGTGTGTCCGGAGGATGAAAGGGGCTGTTGCCAATTACACTGGGCTAGCCGGGCGTGGTGGCTTATGCCTGTAATCCCAGCACTCTGGGAGGCCAAGGCGGGTGGATCATGAGGTCAAGAGAGCGAGACCATCCTGGCCAACATGGTAAAACCTACTAAAAATACAAAAATTAGCCAGGTGTGGTGGCTCATGCCTGTAATCCCAGCATTTTCGGAGGCCAAGGCCAGCAGATCACCTGAGTTCAGAAGTTGAAGACCGGCCTGGCCAACACAGTGAAACCCCATCTCTAATAAAAATACAAAAATTAGGCTAGGTGTGATGGCTCACGCCTGTAATCCCAACACTTTCGGAGGCCAAGGCCAGATCACCTGAGGTCAGCAAGACTTCGTCTCAAAAAAAAAAAAAAAAATCCTCAAATCCAGGCTACATCTCAAACCAATTAAACAGAACCCCTAGAGATGGGCTTCAGGCAGAGTATATTTTGAATGGATTCGAAAGTGCAGCCAGGCCAGGTGCCCTGGCTCACCTCTGTAATCTCAGCACTTTGGGAGGCCGAGGTAGGCAGATCATCTGAGGTCAGAGGTTCAAGACCAGCCTGGCCAACTTGGTGAGACCCCCTTCTCTATTAAAAATACAAAAATTAGCCAGGCATGGTTGAGGGTGCCTGTCATCCCAACTATATGGGAGGCTGAGGCAGGAGAATCGCTTGAATCTAGGAGGCAGAGGTTACAGTGAGCCGAGATTGCGCCACTGCACTCCAGCCTTGGATTACAGGCGTGAGCCACCACGACCGGCCACAAGACCCCATCTCTACAAAAATAAAAAAAAAATTAGTGGGCATGATTGCATGCACCTGTAGTCCCAGCACTTTGGGAGGCTAAAACGGGAGGATCACTTGAGCCCAGGAGTTTGAGGCTGCAATGAGCCACGATCCTGTCAAGGCACTCCAGTGTGGGCAACACAGCAAGGCCCCATCCTCTAAAAAGCCGAAATAACAGCTACACATCTATAGATTTGGTTCACAGATGAGAAAACAGAGGTCCCGAGAGGTGAAATTACTGGCCCAAGACCACACACCTGACAAGAGCTTGGGAGAGGGTAGGTGGAAAGGCGTCCAAGTCCAGGAAAGCTGCCCCCAGGGCCATGGCTCAGCGTGACCGGGCAGGGCAGAAGACCAGGGCACCAGGACCGGGGCGAGAAGGAAACTGTCGCGGAGGACGCCGCTGAGAACCCCAGGAAGGCGCCTCCGAACGCGGCCAGCTGTAAACTGGACAGGGCTTTCCCGGCGCAGGAGGGCAGGGGACCCATAGGGACGGAGGCGCGAGAGGCCACAGGGACCCCCCGAAGGACGGGGACGCGAGAGGGCAGGGGGACCCCAGAGTGACTGGGGTGCGAGAGAGCAGGGAGACCCCCAACAGACAAGGGCGCGGAATAGCAAGGGGACCCCCAAAGGACAGGCGCGCGGGAAAGCAGGGGGACCCCCGAGGGACTGAGGCGCTGGGCCGAACGCCAGGCGCGGGGGCAGGAAACGAGTCGGGGACCGCGCACGGCGGCTGAGCCCCTCCTGCCGAGGGTGGTCGGGCCGTGGGACCAGAGCAGGTGGGGGCTGCCGCAACCCCGCGCCCTACCTGCCGCCTGAGGATTCGCCTCCTTGTCAGCCTCCGCCTCAGCTGCCGCCCGGACTGCTACCGCGGGAAGCAGCTCCATCTCGCGGCCAGTCATGTGAGCCCGTGCGCCCACGTCACTTCCTCCCGCGCAGCCCGGCCGCACCGCGCCCTCGCCCCGCCCACACCCGGCCTGGTTTCACCGCCTCCCCGGCGCGCCACGCCCACAGCCCGCCCTTGCTCGGCCTGTCACCTGGCCTCGCCCCCCCCCACAATCCCCCTAGTCACGCCCACAGGCCCCTCCCCGTCCACGTGGACACAGAGCCGGCTGGCTACCCTAGTTCCTTCCGCCTCAGATTGGACCTCCGAGCTCGCCAGTGCACCGCCTCGGGCGCAAACCGGCACCCGCCGCACCCTCGTTTACTCCCAACTCCCCTTGCCCAGTCACGCCCTCGCTCCCTCATTCACTGATCACACTGGGTTTCTGTGATGTGCGCTTCCTCATTCATCCACCCACCCACTCATTCGCTCACCCGTGCATT